ACTTGAGCACCAATAAAAGTCGGACTAAGGAACAGCTCCGATACCAAATTGTAAGCGACTAAATTTTCCATTCTACTTTAGTCACTTAACCACACCTCTGACCACTTGGAGGAGTCTCATTCACAACCTCCATAAGTCCAATCCAGGACTTGGGACTTGCTAGCCCCGAGAATGGCATCCATGCCACTCAACATTTGCACTTGGTCCAAGTGCTCCACGTGTCCGATCCCATGACCGACACTCAAAGGTACCACCGACATAGCAGCCCGTTACGCTAAGGCCATGCCCAATCACCTTTGCCGCACTGGTAGTCCAATACCACTTGCATCACCGTCTTGGCTCTCCAAGACTAGGCAAACCATCCGTGAGTGGTCATCTCAGATCCACTCCTTAGCATCCTTAGGATGCCCACCGACAAGGGGAATAGCCTTCCCCAATATCCCTCTGTCAGTCCCCACTAAGTCCCTTTCTGCCCCTGGCCGTGTTTGCCAACACTGCCACTGGATTGAGACCCACAGGCCCGACCACTAAGTCCCACGGCCCTCTGGGACTTCCTCACCACACGACTGTGTCCTTGGTCACTACCCCAGAGGACTGCTCCTCTTCCTTTCCACAGTCTGGGCCTTTGGGACAACATTTCGGAACACCGTGGCCTTACGCGAGCCACCTGGGTACTCTCCTCGCCTTCTGTCCTTGGGTGCTCTAGCCATGGGCTTAGAGCGGGTTCCGTTGAGCCACGACAGGTATCCAAGTAGGTAGTGCCACCCACACTTGGACTGGGAGCATCGGCCAGTCGATCTCCCGGGGGAACTAGAGCCGGCTCTTGAACACTTCACCAAGCTACCCCGCTTGTCGGTCTGTGTTCACTCTAGTCTTGGACTTCCCAGTGGGCAGCTCATCACCCAACACTGGGTCCGGCCTTCCTGGGCCAAACTGGCCTTTCCTGGCCAAACTGGCTCCACTGCAGTCCTCCCCCTACTATACTTTTGGAGCTCACCAAACCCCCCAGGGTCTGGGAGACGAACGCTTTGGGCTTTCACCCTCTCAGGCTCCGGACTCGGACTCGGACTCGGACTCGGACTCGGACTCGGACTCGGACTCGGACTCGGACTCGGACTCGGACTCGGGCTCGGGCTCGGGCTCAGTCTCGGCCTCGGCCTCGGTCTCAGTCTCGGTCCCGATCTCGGTCTCGGTCTCGGTCTTGGTCTCGGTCCCGGTCTCGGTCTCGACTTCGGACTCCATCTCGGACTCCATCTCGGACTCCATCTCGGACTCCATCTCGGGTCCATCTCGGGTCCATCTCGGACTCCATCTCGGGTCCATCTCGGACTCCATCTCGGACTCCATTTCGGGTCCATCTCGGGTCCACCTCGGACTCCATCTCGGACTCCATCTCGGACTCCATCTCGGGTCCATCTCGGACTCCACTTCGGATTCCAACTCGGGTCCATCTCGGGTCCACCTCGGACTCCACTTCGGACTCCTTCTCGGACTCCATCTCGGGTCCATCTCGGACTCCACTTCGGACTCCAACTCGGGTCCATCTCGGACTCCACTTCGGACTCCAACTCGGGTCCATCTCGGACTCCACTTCGGACTCCAACTCGGGTCCATCTCGGACTCCACTTCAGACTCCAACTCGGGTCCATCTCGGACTCCATCTCGGACTCCCACGTGTCATGTGTTGGTCCTTTTGGGTCCCTTTTTGGAGCCTCGCCTTTTGCTTGCTTCGTGCTCGTTCCTCGAGCACTTCGTTGGGAGTTCCACTCCCGCTCTTGACTTTTCAAGTCGGAGCTTTTGGTCCAAACGTGTTACGCTCGTTTGGCTCTCGCTTCGGCCACTACCATGTGGCGCCCTTCTGGCTCCACTTTGGGGCCTAGGGATTTTGTGTCTCACACAAACATGTTATACTCATTAAACTTTTGTTTTGATGAAACATAAATGTACATTTCTTATGTCTAATAGGGACTAAACAACATTATCAAGAACACATTTTCACAAAATGTTGCTAGTGAAACTACAAGTACAAATGTATGCTCTTAAATTTAGACTTTTTGAGATGTCATCTAACTCAATACTATTTAAACCCAAAGAAACTTAACCCAAGTTATTCTCTTTGGTTGCTTATAATAAAGTCATGGCATTATTTTTTGGCAATTTGCCTCCAAGATAACTCTACCACAAGACTTGAAGCCACATGCTATACTCCATAGCACATAAACTTTGCCATAGTGCGCTCCACCTCCAATGTGCCACCTGATCGTGATATAACTCTAATTCATAGGTCTAAGCAAGGTGTGAATGTGCTCTAGCTCAAGGCTAGAGCATGTTACCTTGCTTCCCACGTGAGATAAGTGCATTGGCTCATCTTTAAAAAAGTCTTAGCTTTGCTATAAAGACTAAAGAAGTACTACAAACCTCTCAAATTAGTGTTGAGAGAAAAAATGTGTGGATCTCTTAACATGTAACACTTACTTACCTTCATATGCTAGTGGCTCTAATCATGGTAGTAATCCCTACCAATAGCTCCAAACTCAACCCCTCCAAATCCTACAAAATCAATTTAAAACCAACACCAAGCATGGTTTTCCACAAAACCAAGTGCTCTCTAGCACATTAGCAACCCTAAATTGTGCTTTGCAAGCACCATAGTGAAACCCTAGCTAAGATGAGTTAGATCTCACTAAAATGGATGAAATTTAGGCTAGGGACTTCCTTTCAAGTCACTAGCAGTTTATTGGACACTCCCAAGTCTTGTCATATCTTGTCAAAGTGCTGAAAATGAAGATTCACTCACCTCCAAGAACCTTAGCTATGCCACAATGTAGGGTCACTAAGATTTTGTAGATCCTGGATTAGAATGTCATACTATGGATGGACTTCCACTTCAGCCACTACCACGTGGCACAACTTTGGCTCCATTTTGGGACTTAGGGTTTTGTGTGTTACAATTATTTTAAAACTAACTCATTAAATGACTTAATCTAATCATTTAAATTTAACCACACAAATTGCATATAATCATTAGGGTTCAATTGTGAGAAGGGTAGTACAGTTTTAAGGTCAACCCCCAAACATGTATAGCCTATTTTTTTAAAGTTTATTTCTTTTGGAATTTATTACTAGGTTGGAAGTTATGACAAAGGCACATTCTTCTTGGGTGCAAATATACATATGTCATTTAAATCTTTGATTTGATGGGTTAATTAGTTTGATTGTGAAGGTGACTAGATGTTTTGAGATTAGGACACTTGTAAAGGACCTAATTATGTTTATGAACATAAAAAATTCCAAAATTATGTTATTCTGTTTATTCTTTCTCTTTTATATACTTTTTTTAAAAGTATTTAAAAGTATATATATACTTTTATATACTCAAATGCCTTTTTCACAATAGCCTTATTGCTTTGAGAGCCATGATCATCTATCACAATACAAGCACAATTTGTTGGAGAGACACCTCTTTTTTAAAAGCTCTTGGTTTTTCTTTTTCTGGAATAACTTAGGTACACACTTTCATTTGCTCTCTAGATATAAATAGTGATTACATATTATTTTTACATTACTGTATAATTTGATATTTATTATATTACTTTACTTTAAGAGTTTGTAAGTCAATTTTAAGGGCACAACTTTACAGAAACTTCTATATGGCAGGAGATGGCTATAATGCTTAAAATGTCACTCTCCAACAGTATTGATAGAGACTTTTTTACTCTAAAGCCTACACAAAAGTTTTCAAGTTTATCTAGTTATCATATATTTTATTTCACTTTCAAAATATTACCAAGTTAGTCGAATGTTGCTACTGGAATTTCTAGATAGCGATAAATCTCTTATATGACCATGATCAAGCTTCTCTATTTACAAACTCTAAACAATAATAAACAATCAAATCTCAGAGTATTATTTTTGGTATACCAAAATGTGTCTTTGTTGTAAAAACATTGTTGTAGCTAACAAGGTTGGTGACACACTATCCTTCTAACCATGATATCATGACCAATAATTTATGGTATACTACAACAACTATATACTATTACCCATTTATGAAAGGCTAAAAAGATCCAGGTAAGATAGTTCCCAAAGGAATATATATATATATATATATAGATAGATAGATATAGATATAGTTAGTCTCTGAATTATTGCCTTTGAATTGCTCCCTTCTAAATTTTATTCTTTGTAAACATAAAATTTTCAATAAAACTATCCAGCTCTTCACTAGATCATAAACATCCTCTTTGGCCAATAGTAATATCTTTAGTCCATTGATAAATATCACAATGTGAAGTTGAGTAAGATTTTGAAAATACACACTTCTAGAGTTTGTTTGATCCCTAAAACATCTTCAAGTTTATACATGCAATTCTCAACACCACACTGTATGTAGTAATAAGCATATTTAACTGATATTTATTCTTTGCCTAAAATAATATGCATTAAGCTTCATATAGATTACATATTGATTAGCACACTTTAGCTGTCTCTTTAACAGTTAGAGATATTAAACAGTATTAGAGTATTTTTACAAAAAATCATCACTACAATTTATTGAAGTCACTGTTACATATAATATCATAGCTGCTTGTGAAGAATCAAATGAATTTGCAACTGCTTGCTTAAAGGAATTGAGATTTAGAATAACAGTTTAATCTCTTATGATTCAACACATGTTCATGCACCACCAAACATAATCCTAACAATGGTCATGATAATTATTGTATGGCGGGCAATCAAGGCATCCTAGTGAATACTCATAAGCAAGTGCTTAATTGTTAATGACAATATGCGGTGATCCAAAGTACTTAAGAGCAATAACCAACTCTATTTAATAAGTATCACATAATAGCATATAATGAAGTTAAAAATAAGAAGCCTTGCCACATTATTAACTTTATAGCTTCCTAACTACTACTGCTAAAGTATAGGCACCACAACTATTCCCCACGCAGGACATTAGCCTACGGTCACATTTTTCTTTGGCATTTATCCTCTCGAATATTCTTGTGAAGCGGCAATGGGCTCTGGCGCAAGGGTTTTGTGGCCGGGAGCTATGGCGGAGGCGCATTCTTCTTGGGAATTTCTGAAGCTCTTGCCGGAAAGGTATGCGCATTTTGTTTCCAATCCTCGAGATTCAGTGGGTTGATTAGTCTGAAACGGGACGTAGGATTTGTGATTGCTAGCCCGCCACTGCTGCTGGATTCCGACGAGGTTTGCTTTCTGGTGCTTTTAAAGAAATGGTACTGATTTTCCAATGGTTTTAGCTCCCTATTGCCTCGATCAGCGGATTGATTGGAGATTGCGCTGCCGGGTGGATAGAGGAGCTTGATCCTGGCCATGCAAGAGACTGGTTTCTATCGAGAAAATCCAGCAGCAACACGAGACTTGGTACGCTCAAAGTCGACGGTAAACCATGACGAGCGTTCTCTGTTTCTTTTTCTTTCTTTCCAGGTGATCACTTTGCAAAGTGTGTCGAGTTCGTGCTTCGTTTCGCTCCGTTGGAGGGAATCGACTCCATATTCTACTCCCAGCAAGTTTTGGAGCCCGTCACAGTTGACAAGGATGAAGAAATGGTATCCACACGACTTGAAGGGGTTGATGGCGAGCAAACTGAGAGCGGTGGTGACAAGTACGAGAGGAGACGAGCAAGAAAACTGTTGCGTAGGCTTCACAGGAAAAGGATCTCCGTGAACACCGTTGGAGAGTTTGATTTTCTCTTTCGTCTCAAGCATCCGCAGCCATCTACGGTCGTGGAGCACTGGGAAGTCTCCGTGAAGTTTTTGCTCTACGTTGGGCCTTGGGAAGCCTTTGGTCTACAAACTCCAGAAGCCGCCAAGTGGAAGCAATTCAGGTCAGAACAGCAGATGGAGGAGATCTCCACCCACATCACCGCTTCGAGAAACGAGCGGTTTCTCGGGT